CTCTCAAAATTGATTTGGTCCACAGCAACATTTTTTGCCCCACAGTGTGCCGTGAGATGAACAGTCTTAACTCCATGAACTACTTATTGCAACTTTGTACAAACTCAGCCAAACACTATTATTTCAACTTAACGTTTTCCGACAAACTATGCTTCCTGTGTCTCAAGATAGTTCATCGCACGGCGTTTAAGGCAGGATAATTTGATGTTTATCGAGCAGTTGAGATAGTGGCTCGGGATCAGCCATATAAAGCAGATTAACAAACCTCTTTGATGTCCTTGCAGGGCATAATCTCTTTTAGAGCGCAGAAAATTGCAAATGGTTGTATGCTGGCAATTTTTTGGCGCTCGCCAGCAGTTTGTTCGCTTGGCTCATACAAACACGAAGAAGTTAATATTTGCAAGAAATTTTCTAGGAGCGCCGCCGTTAGTTCGGGATCATTGGCGACAAGGTGCCAATATTCGACGATGTTGCTGTGCAATTTAAGAAATTATTTTTCATATTCTTATTTATTTTATCTATGTATATATTGGTGATAAGATGTCACTTACCTTTCATAGGGTAATGGCTGAGTAAGCATTTCGAAGCACACCAACTTTGGGTGATGTTTTGTGAGCGCCACTAGTGCCTTCAGCACACCAGACCGCGCACGATTTATTTCGCAATCTCTTACAGCCTAAAATAAATAAATGATAAGTGTTTCGGAAATGTATTTAGCATACCAAAACATACACTTAAACTTTCTTTCACGAGGTCCGGGATGGCGTGGAATAACTCCGATCCTTTGTGTTGGATGAAAAATTTCAATACTACCGAAGCTCCAATCGATGAACTTTGCTCCGGATCGCGTAACCCTTGTAGAAGAGTTTTACTGTGTGAAGAGACAAGAGATAATTTTTAAATTAATATTACTTATAATATTGCAAAAAGCTGAATGAAATAAATTTCCCAGAAAAAATGTACCCCAAGTATTTAGTTTCTCGCAAGAAGGTACTTTCATATTCGGCCTTATTGCAAATTCCATGTGAACAAATATTCCCAATAATTATAAAGTAAAACAAAAACCATTTTTCCCAATTTGATTTTGAATTCAATTATGGTAACGATTTGTTCACGTGGAATTAGCGATAAGAGAAACAACGAAAAACGGTGTTATTTATTGTAATAGCATAAAGCGCTCCCCAATTACCTAGTTGTGGGGGAGTTAAAATTCTATGTCAGAAATAAATCAGGGCAATTCCAGTAAAGTAGACACGAATGTTGTAGGGCCGTAATGATGTTTGTTAAAAAGTTTAACGGGTTCTAAAACGGTTGTAACTTAATTAATGAAGGGCAACTTTTTTCGCTTTGCTACATAAGATCACATAATGAAGGTGTTGAATGAATCGTTGTCGTCAAGCTCAACCAAGCTATTTAGTCGGGGTTAGACCAAAGGGGTAGGGGTGTTAGCTGAGTAGGTTTAAGTGGACGGCTGTAGAGGTGACTGATGTCGTGGGGGGAGATACTATATTTTGTATGTCGAGGTCGAGTCTGGATAGATACGAGTTTAGTCGACTGCAGTCGCTTCACCTGCACATATAAAGATAAATTCTAAATAATCGGCAAAAAATCGGAAAAAAGGCTCATGCCGCTGCCGATGCTCAATTTTGTGCCGATACTAGCCGATGCCGATTAATCGGTCGGACTCTAATTTTAACTTATTTTCACTAAGTCAAATTCAATGGCATTTGCGGTCAAATGAGTGAAAACAAATTTTCAAATGGGACTAAAAAATGGTATTTTGATTGATTTAGATCAGAATAGGCCTTCTGGCGGCAACATGCGCTGCTAAAGCGGCTATTTGTAAGTTTTTGGCCCATAACATCATCGATAAAGGTAGAGACAAAAGAAAGAAAGTTGTGTCAAAATATGTCGACAAATTTTATTGTCAAAATATGAGATAATGAAAACCAGCCTTTATTCGCCCATACAGTCCAGTGTCTAGGATGTCTTAAAATTTCATATTTTCTTTAGATGAGAACTATAGCTATTTGACCCATATTCGCTTGTTGATTTCTGGAAATATATATAAATGCTTTCGAAGTTACTTTCGGCAATTTGATTATTTTCTCTAGCCCTGCTGCACCTATTAAAAGGAACCGGATAAATTAGCAGACTTTTGCTGTTGCTTTATAAAAAGCTGGATAAGGAAGTATACACATTTTGTAGTTTTAATTCTACAAAACTTATCTTTGTCCTTAGCCTTATTTATTTATAATTCTTTGACTAGCACTATTAAATAATTCGTTGAATTTTCATGCTAGNGTCAATCTCAAGTTATATAGACTCTCGACCTGTGAATGCCGTGCCTGGCGCGGACGCGACAACTTTGTCTGCCTCGGGAGACAAAGCTTTCCCAGGTGTGTTTGCCTTTTTCTCGACACCGCGTCACATTCTAAGAGGATATGCCGCGGGGTTTCTGTTCCCTGTCGCAGTAGCGGCAGGAATCGTGCCCGGGGCGTTTAGTCTCGTTACACATTCCCATACGACCCGTGAATTAATTTCCCACGACGATACGGCTTTCAGTGCAGCCTGACTGTCGCTGTAAATGACAATGTGCTGTCTTCTTGGTTGTCTCTGCAGAATTACTTTCGCACAAATTTCGATGGCAAAAACCTCCGCCTGAAAGGTACTGGGGTAGTTCCCGAGGGGATACTGCGGAGATACTGACTTAGGAGCCATGTATTTCTGCCCCTATACCTTCGTCGGTTTTTGAGCCTGTGAACCTTTGGGTGTGGGGCCGATATGTGTTATCTAAGATTATCTCGTTCCAGGTCGCCTTGCTGCCTAGTTCGGTTCTAAGCTTTTTCTCGGAGGTTCTTAGCGTAACCATGTAGTCTCTATTGAGCTGGAAGATAGGAATCTTGCTTTTGATTTCCTCTCCCAGTCTGCTCAAAACCACCTTGC